CACTCGAAGAAGGGGTTGATCAAGAAAAGCTACCACCATTCAAACCGGCATTTAAACCACCAATCAGACCACCTTTCAAGCCACCATTCAAGCCACTCATGTCAAGAAGTTTTCAAGCCAACCAACAAGAGCCAAAAAGAAGGCCATGCGTTTACTGCAAAAGCCCAAGTCACCAATCCACTAATTACAACAAAGTTACCATGGTCCCAGAGGGAAGAAAACAGCTGATCTTAAAACAACTGTGTTTTAATTGTACCGGCGCCAATCACAGGGCCGAAGAGTGCCGTTGTGTTTTAAAATGCATGTTCTGCCAAAGGAGATACCACTCGTCAATCTGCGAGAACACTTCTGGATCCCAGCAACCTGAGCATATGTTAGTTGCCACTGGAAGAAGCTCAGTAACCTAGACGTAGGTGGTATACGGTGCTGTGCGCTGTTGGACACCGGAGCCGGAAGTTCATACGCCTCTGCAGCCTTACTCGATCGACTAGGAAAGCGACCAGTGTGAAAGGAGTTCCGAAGGATCGAAATGATGTAAACTACAGGTAAAGAAATCGAAGTCCATGATGTAGCGATCAAAAACCTATCTGGGGATTTTCATCTGCGAACAGAAGTAACCAAGGTAAACCGTGGTGTGCTGTTAAATTTAACAAATCCCAGGTACAAGGACATGGTGACACGGTACGACCACTTGAAAGGGATAGTAATGGATGATGTTGACGCAAAAAGAGAGCTCCCTGTGCATCTAATCCTCGGTACTAGCGAGTATGCAAGGATCAAGACGGAGACCACACCCAAGATAGGACAACCTGGAGAACCGATTGCAGAACTGACACGCCTAGGATGGACCATCATGTCTCCTGGAAGTGAGCCCGATCTTACTAACATGTTTCTAACCCAGACCTCCACGGTAGATTATGAAGCACTTTGCAGACTCGATGTACTTGGATTGGAGGACCGACCAGTTGGTGATCAGTGTCTCATGTATGAAGAATTTAAGGAACAACTTGAGAGAAGCCCTGAAGGATGGTATGAAACAAGTCTTCTCTGGAAGGGTAATCATCCACCCTTAACCAACAACAAGTACAAAAGTTTGAAGCGATTGGATAACCTAGTGAGAAAACTAGAAAAACAGCCAGGCATGTTGGAAAAGTATGACGACATAATACAAGATCGGCTTATCTCACGTGGTAGATGACCAAGCGTTATGTTTGATAGTTGTCCAGGAAGCAATTTTGTCGCAGCTATTGCGTATCGATTGTGTTGGTTGTTTCTTTCATGAACGCAGGAAAGAACGTCTCCGGCCTTGGGTTTCCAAGTCTCTTTATACATGTGAAAGTCTCTCAGGCCGCAGGGAAAGGAACACTGGACAGTACCAGAAACTGACGCCATCATCAAAATCAAATCTTTCACAGTATCAGGGTTTGAAGTTTCTTAAAGGTATTTCCGGAATTTTGACAGCTGAAAATCATATGGTATCATATCTCCACCACGTGGTTCGAAGTGGTTGTACAACGCGTCTGCTGTAGAAACACAAACATTTCTCCAATGCCTTTATACTGATGTCTTTGTTCCAGTGCAGCTTTTCTCTAAGGAGAGAAGAATCTTCGCCTGGAGGTTCGGAAGGAGTAGAAATACTTGAATCACATTTGCCGAGGCAAGAAGACAAATTTAGGAGCGGTTGAATACAAGGAAGCTGCGGCCGCAGTTGTTGACCTTTCAAGACCTCCGGAGATTTCGCAACCAAATCAAGTTCTCAAGAGAGAAAGGGGCACATATTCTCAATACAGCGGAGAAGATTGCGTCAAGATTAGAAAATTCGCAAGTAAGAATGGCAACAAGAAAACCCTAAAGCGCTTTGCTAAAGAATTTCCAAACTTAAAGGAGAGCACAGTGTGTACCTTCAAAAAGTCATTTCGAAATCAACTTTCTGCCCAAACAAGAGAAGGAAACGTCCAGCCACTTATGTCCCTTGCAACGCAAAAACATGGATGACCACCATTGCTTTACGAGCTGGACAGCAAACTGGTCGCCTTTTTACAAAACCTCAGAGCAAGAGGTGGCGTAGTGAATGGCAGCGTCATTTCAGCAGCTGCAAAAGCACTAATTAGCAGCAATCCATCAATGCGTGACAAGTACATCTCTTTCGTGCCTACGTGAGGATGGATTCAATCTATTTACAGGCGTTGCAACTTTTCCCGTCAAGCCGGGACAACAACCAAGCTACCAGTACCAAGGGGACGAAGAATGCAAACTAACTTTCCTCTCGGACATAAACAATTGTATCAAGCAGTATGAGATTCCAGCGGAACTAATCCTTAATGCTGATCAAACACTAAGTTCCTACATATCAGTGGGCCGAATGACTATGACTATGGGCCGAATGACTTTCGCAAAATCGTGAAATTTAAGTGTCGCGAAATATGTGCACCTGAAAATTGCGAAATTAACATGTCGTGAAAATTTCATGTAATAAGGTATATTACTGAAAAGTTTATTTATCAAAGAAAGAGTTATATTTATTTATGGCTGGTGGCAATCTGAAAGACTGCTCAAGAATTCTTCACGAGGTCTGTGGCTCAGGAAGTGCCTCTAGAATTCAGCTGAATACTATGCATCTTGAAGAAGCTGGATGGAAAATTGTTTCTTGCGAGTCCACTTTACTTACGTGGATCCAGAGGGTCATGAATTCAAGAGCTCAAAAGACATAGAGCGCGAACTAGAGGTCGATGGAATTCTCGACCGATTTCTTAAGGACAAAAATAGCCCTGAAATTTTTGACAAGCAAGCATCCACAACTAAAGATTCCTATGAAGATTATGAACCACCAGTAAAAAAGAAAGCCACTCAATGTCTGGACTAATCAGGGTAAGTATTATGTCATTCTTTTCCTGTTTGCAGTAAA